ACAACCCCTAAACCCCCATGCCACCTGCTGGTCCCTTTCTTTCTTTCTGTCCCTCTCTGGTCAAATTAAAAAATAAGTAAATAAATAAACAAATTTAAATAAAATATTTTTTTTTAAAAAAAAGAAAATTTTATTTGTTATTCTTTAATCTGACCAGAGATGACTAGAGAGAGAGAAAAGCAAAGCAAGATAGCAAGCCACCAGGTCTGGAACTTGAACCATGGTCAGCCATGTCCGAATCTAGTGCCTCAACCACCATGCCACCTTCCAGCTCCAAGTTTTATGATCTTAAGATTATAAAAGATTATAAAAGATTAAAAATTCAGGAGTGTTTTTTTTTGAAAAATAAAACAATAAGGGGGCCAGTAGGTGGCATGGTAGTTAAGGATGCTGACTGAGGTTCAAGTCCCGAACCTGGCATCTTGTAGCTTGCTTTCTCATTTTCTCTCTCTCTAGCTCTCACTCTGTTCCTTCTGGGGTCTAATTAAAATAAATGAATAAAGTTACATAAAATCTTTTTAAAAAGAAAAAAATGAATAGATTTGCATTATGCTGCATTATACATGAGATGGTCTCATAACAGATGTCCCTGTCCTGAGAAATCTCTTATATTTTCTCTTAAGAGTTGGTACTAGGAACTAGATGGTCAGGTTCAGTACTATTTGGTTTTAAAAAGCTCAGTTGCAGTAAGGTTATCTCAAGTGGCGGAAAAACCTACCATACCAGTATCTCAGTCTTTTTCCTGCCTTAAAATACTTGGTACATCATTACTGTACACCACAGTTTAGTTTTTGTTTTTTTAAAAGAATTATTTATTTATTTAATCCCACTTGTTATTATATTTTAATTTGACCAGAGAAAGGAAAAGGGAGAAAGCAAGCCACCAGGTCTAGGTCTTGAACCGTGGTCGCCCATTTGGGAATCCAGCACATTTAACCACCATGCCACCTCAGTTAATTTACTTTTTTTTTTTTTAATTTTTTTTTAAATTTCATTTATTTATTTATTTTATTTTTAATTTGACAGAGAGAGACAGAAAGAGAGAAAGCAAGCTACCAGGTCCAGGACTTGAACCACGGTCAGCCATGTGGGAGTGTCCAGCACCTTAACTACCATGCCACCTGCTGGCCCCAGTTAATTTACTTTTACAATGATTTTCAAAGAGGGCTATCTGAGGAAGAGCACCCTGGCACTTGTGTAACTTGGAAAAGTCCACAGTTGATTCTGGGAGCTAGGAGAAATTACCATTGCCTCCATACCCACTTCCAACCCTATATAGATTTGTAAGTGCTTTGTAGCCTTGTCTGGCCCATGTTGGTCAGAGCTAGCAGATGGCATGGTAATTAAGGTACTGGACTACAATAGTAATTTTTAAATAAAATCTTTAAAATAAATATATGTTGGTTAATATAATGAATTAGGAATAGTTCATGTAGGGGGTGGAGACTGACATTTGTTAAATGTCTACTATATGCCAGGAGTTCTTTAATTGACACTGAAAATGTATACTCTTTCCTTTAATCCTTTTAGCAGTCCTGTCAAGGGAAATGGCATCTCATTTCCACAGTTCTACTGAAATAACTGTACACATGACAAGCCTAGAGTCAACTTAGTTCTATGCTCTTACCACTGTTTCTTCTTAAAGTGGTCTATGAACTTGATTCATAGCACTGCCAGGTGTTGACTCTGTCTGGTCTCTGCCCCAAACCCCTCCTCTCTCCTTGTACTGCTTAGTTGTCCTAGTAGGCTGCTTTCTTGCAGTGGTGATGCTGATCTTATCAGGGGTGTGTTTCCCACTCTAGTTCATCTGCACTGTTGTAAGAATGATCTTAAGGGACACTCTGAATGTGTCATTTGTCTCCTCAAAAGAAAAAATTTTTTTTTGGTTATCCTTTAAATATCCAGGGATAGGAAATTACTTTCCTCAACACTTGGTGTTGAAGATTGGACCTAAAAACACTCACTTGGCTCTAACAGGTATTAATACTATCTGGGCAGTGATTTTTTTTTTCCCCCTTGGTTTTTAGTTTTGCTATAGGGTGCAACATAGAGAGGGAAAGTGAGAACACACTCCCCCAGGTGGGATGGCCACACCGCAGTTTGTTCTCCATTCTCCCCTCAGGATTATGGGCATACACGCACATACACCTGGTGTGTTTTTCGGACCGCTAGGTCCAGGACTTGAACCTTGGAATTGGCCATATGGAAGCCAGTGCCTTAACCACTATGTCATCTGCTGGTGCCATGGACAGTGGTTTTGTTTGTTTGTTTTTTGGTTTTTTTTAGAGGTTTTTGTTATAGGGTGCATGTGCTTGCCAGAGAGAGAGAGACAGAGAGACAGAAAGCGAGAAATAACCCTCTGGGAAGATTGCCATGGCACAATCTCTTCTCTAGTTTCCTGTCAGGAGTTGGGGTGTGCATGCACACATGCCTGGCGTGAGTTTGAAGTAATTGGGTCCAGGACTCGAACTGCAATTAACTACATGGGAGTCCAGTGACCTATCCATTACGCCATCTGCTAGTCCAATGAACAGTGATTTTAAATGAGTTTTGCAGGTTATAAATTTACTACTATTTATTATTTGTTGTATATGATTCATATGACTTCAAAGTCATTGGTGACATTTTATATCTTGTAGGTTCTTTAAACAAGATCACTTTCATATTGGAGTATCATTCAGATTCATCAGACATTTTACAGGCTTAGGTATTGAGGTTATCAGTGTCTTTTTCTCTTATATCTCTTAGGTGACAAATGTGGAAACTAGAGTTCTAATACAGGACAAAATACATCATTGGAATTACTTGTTTTGCACATTTAAGGGCTCATGTATTTCAGGGGCTTTTTATAAATCTCACCTTTGGGCATCAAGTTTAACTTATTTAGAGACCTTATTAACATATGTGATTACACAGTCTTAAAAAGAACTCATCACTGGGCCCACAGGTGCCATGGCGATTAAAATACTGGATCCCATATGGCCAGCTGCACAGTTCATGTCTTTGATCTGGCAGTTGAAAATGACACTGGACACTTGTGCATGGGTGCTCAAAAATCCTAGGATGAGAATAGAGGAGAAAGGATTGTGGCATGGCCAATCCTCCCTGTGGTGTGATTTCTCACTTTCCCTGTATCTTTTTCTCTTGCTGTCTCTCTGGCACGCGCCCTAGAGCAAAAAATAAAAATAAAACAAAACCAAAAAACCTCATCACAGTTTACTTGAACTAGCTAAAGTAAATTTTTTTTTTTTTGAGAGTTTTTTGCTATAGGCGGGTGTGCTTGCCAGAAAGACAGAGAGAGAAAGCAAAAAACCACCCCTGGGGGGATGGCCATGCTGCAATCCCTTCTCCTGCGTTCTCCTCTCATGATCTTGGGCACGCATGCACACGTGCCCAATATGAGTTTAAGCCACCAAGTCCGGGACTCAAACCGCGGTCAACTACATGGCAGTCCAGCGACATAGCCATTATGCCAACTGCTGGTCCCATAGCTAAAGTAACTCTGAGGTTACCAAAAGTAAATCTAGACAAGTAGATGTGTATTTGTTGAGCAAAATGATACTAATTTGGTTTGTGCTGGACTGTGAAATATTTTATAGTATCTGTGAAGGAAAGGTTTATAAAGCAAATCAAGAGAATAAGTATGCTTTTATAAATACATTTCGATTACTATTTGAAAACCTGAGTTAGTGGGCACTGATTTCAAATTATTGAGGTTTGTGTTCAGTGACTGAACTCATTTTTATTGTATAATAAAAGAAATAAAACGGATAAATAGATCTCAATTTTTAATAAACCTTATTTCTATTAAACAGCACCTGTGGAATCCTCTCAAGACGAACAGTCATTGTTGTGTGAAGGTAATTTTTTATGTGACTCTCTAAAAGGCTAATTGAGAAAACAGTAAGTTGTCTATGGTGTGTAAAGTTAGATATTATTTTGTAAATATATATTATATCTCAATTTCTTGTCTAGGTTCAAATTCAGCTGTTAGCATGGAACTTTCAGAACCTGTTGGTAAGAAAATTTCTGACCATATTAATACAGTAATATGAAACCCTTTCACTCTCAAGATTTAAGGTGCAAATGTAAGTGTTATGATTATTGTAATGCCTACATTTAAAACACATTGAGTCTTTGCTGTTAGAATTTAGAAAGCAGAACAAATTAGCCATTTATTCACATTTTCTTAATATATTTAGTGACTGCAAGTAGAATTGAATAGAGAAATGCTAAAGTCAGTTTAAATAGTTATACTTGTTCCATTTACATATTGAAAAATTTCCTTCCTTTTTTTTTTTTTTTTTTTTTTTGAGATGTTTTGCTATAGAATGCACGTACTCGCCAGAGAGACAGAAAGCGAGAAATCAACCCCCAGGGGAAATGACCATGCCACAATCCCTTCTCCTCTATTCTCTGCTCAGGATCTTAGGCACACACGCACACATGCCCAGCAAGAGTTTAAGCCACCAGATCCAGGACTCGAACCGTGGTCGACTACATAGGAGCCCAACAATGTAGCCATTACACTCTCTGCTGGTCCCAAAAATTTCTTTCCTTTTTGTAACTATTACTCTTAAGGGGGTTTTGTGTTCCCAAGATGGTCATTAAAGTTGATGCTAAAGTTATACTCCTTACAGAGGAAAAAGAAGATACTCCTCTAAATCTTTTTACACTTTCCCATGAACTTATTTTAGATTTTTCCTTTTTCCCCACTGTCAGGGTGTCTTGTCTTGTCTTTCTTTCTTTTTAAGAATTATTTAGTTGGGGAACCAGCAGTTAGCATAATGGCTATGTTGCTGGACTCCCACATAGTTGACCGCGGTTCGTGTCCCGGACCCGGTGGCTTAAAACTCATGCTGGGCGCATGTGCGTGCGTGCGTGCCCAAAATCCCGAGAGAAGAATGGAGAAGGAATTGCGGCGTGACCATCCCCCCGGGGGGTGATTTCTTGCTTTCTGTCTCTATGTCTCTCTCTCTATCTGTCTGGCGAGCACACATGCCCTGTAGCGAAAACCTCTCCCAAAAAAAGAGAATTATTTATTTGGACCGGCAGGTGGCGTGGTAGTTAGGGGCACTGGACTCCCATGTGGCTGACCACAGGTTGAGTTTCAGACCTGGCAGCTTGGTTTCTCAGCTTCCGTATCTCCCTCTCTTTCTCATTCTGTCCCTCTCTGGTCAGAAATATTAAGATAAATAATTCTTTCTTAAAAATGAAATTTTAAAAAATATTTTTAATTTGACCTGAGAGAGTCAGAGAGAGAAAAAGAGAGAGAGAGAGAGAGAAAGTGGACCTGGCACACTCCCAGGTCCAGGACTTGAACCATAGTTGGCCATGTGGGAGTCCAGCGCCTTAACCATCATGCCACTTGCTGGTCCCCACATCAGGGTGTCTTGACACTGGAATAACTGGGCTGTTGGGAATGATTTTCATTTGCCTTTTATTTGTCCTAATAAAAATGACACTTTGCTAAAACAGCAATCTCTCATAGTCTCTGAGTCAGAGCTCTAATCTGATATTAGCAGTGGGGAAATTTAAAGGGTATTATCAATTTCTGTTGTGGAAGACATTTTCCTGCTTATGTGTCACTGGATGTTCGGAAATAGAACTACATGTGCAAAATTCCACTTTTTAAAAAACAATTGTATTTTAAATATAGATTGTAAGTATTTTCAGAATACTAAATTAAAATGTCTTCAATAGAAAATGGAGAGACAGAAATGTCCCCAGAAGAATCATGGGAACACAAAGACGAAATAAGTGAAGCAGAGCCAGGAGGTGGTTCCTTGGGAGATGGAAGGCCACCAGAGGAAAGTGCCCAAGAAATGATGGAGGAGGAAGAGGAATTACCAAAACCTAAATCTGTGGTTGCACCTCCAGGTGCTCCCAAAAAAGAACATGTAAATGTAGTATTCATTGGACATGTAGGTAAGTTACACTCATAGCAGTGATAAATTATTGAATACATAAGACAGAACATCTTATTTAGCTGCTTGGAGATGTTCACTGAAACGGAACTAAATTAACTTTTAAAATAAATATCTTTATTTTCAACTTGCTAGAGTTTTGTTTTGTTTTGTTTTTTTCTAGCTGACAAAAACTTTCCAGTACTTTTTTAAAGAATTATTTTATTTATTATTAATTGATTGATTTTTAAAGAGACTTTTTGCTATAGGGTGTGTGTGCTTGTTGGAGAGGCAGAGAGACAGAAAGCAAGAAATCAACCCCCAGAGTGGATGGTCACACTGCAATCCCTTCTCTTCCATTCTCTCTCGGGATCTGGGAGCACACAGGCACACATGAGTTTTAAGTCTCCAGGTTCAGGACTCAAGCTACGGTTGACTGCATGGGAGTCCAGTGAGGCAACCATTACGCCATCTGCTGGTCCCTTGTTTATTATTATTATTATTATTATTATCATTATTATTATTTTTGCTATAGTGCACATGTGCTCTCCAGAAAGAGACAGAAAGCAAGAAATCACCCCCGGGGGGGATGGCCATTGCTACAATCCCTTCTCTTCCATTCTCCTCTCGGGATCTTGGGCACGCATGCACACGTGCCTGGCATGAGTTTAAGCCACCAGGCCCAGGACTCGAACCGTGGTCGACTACATGGGAGTTCAGTGACACAGCCATTACGCTAACTGCTGGTCCCTTATTATTTTTTCTTAATTTGATTCGAGAAAGACTGAGAAAGCAAATTGCCAGGTCTGGGACTCAAATGATGGTTGGCCATGTGGAAATCCACCTCCTTAACCACCATGTCACATGCTATCCTCCAGATGAACAATTTTGTAATGACATGGATGCTAGGAGAAAGTAAGTTTTGAGTAAATGTGTGTATAAAGTATGATTAATCTGTAAACCACTGATGATAGTTCAACATACTATATGTGTTAATTAGTATTCTAGAAAATGTGCCCTTTTTTTGAGAGAGAGATTTTTGTTACAGAGTGCATGTGCTTGCCACAGACACAGACAGAAAGTGAGAAATCACCCCCTGGGGGCGTGCCCATGCCATATCCCTTTTCCAGTCTCCTCTCGGGATTTTGGGCGCACACACCTGGCATTAGTTTTAATCCCCCAGTCCGGGACTTGAACTGCGGTCGATGCCATGGGAGTCCAGCAAAGTAGCCATTTTGCCATCTACTGGTCCCATGTTCCTATTTTTTATGTGAACATCTTTAATTTCATTTTAATGGGGTTACCCTTACTAGATAGGTTGTGTGTGTGTATGTGTGTGTGTTTTGTTGTTCTGCTATAGGGCACATGTGCTCACCAGAAGGGTTAGGGGAAAAATCACCCTGTGGGGAGAGGGGATGACCACGCTGCAGTCTCTTCTCCATTCTTCACTCATGTTTGGGCACTCATGCACATGTGCCTGGCATATTTTTTCAAGCTTCTGTGTCTAGGACTCAAACTATGCAGTCAGTCATAGTCCAGCCACCTGAACCACCATGTCACTGGCTGGCAGTTAAAATATTATGAAGCATTAAAAAAAATATATTTTTTTGGAGACATCTTTTTTTTTTTTTTTTTTTTTTGCTATAGGGCACGTGCACTCACCAGACAGATAGAGACAGAAAGTGAGAAACCACCCTCCAGGGGGATGGCCACGCCGCAATCCCTTCTCCTCCATTCTCCTCCCAGGATCTTGGGCATGCACGCACACGCGCCCGGTGTGAGTTTCAAGCCACCAGGTCCAGGACACGAACTGCAGTCAACTACATGGGAGTCCAGCGACATAGCTATTACGATAACTGCTGGTCCGAGAAGCATAAAATTAATAGTTTGAAGCAACCTCTCAATGTTTGCCAGTTTGCTGAATATGGAGGGGGGGGATACCTATTTAATTTACTCAGATATCCTGATTATCTGATCTATCCCCAAAAATGGTGAGAAGAAACATCCTTGTGACTTTTTAAAAGAGGTTTTAGTCTTAGGACATGTACGCTTTTTGGAGTGAGAGACAGATGGTGAGAGAAATGATGAGAAATCACGATTACCCCTCAGGGGGACAGCCGCCACAACCTCTTCTTTATTCTCTTCCTGGGATCTTGGGCATACAGGCCTGGGGTAATTTTTTTTAAAAGCTTCTCTTTTTTTCCTAATTTTATTTATTTATTCACTTAATTTGACCAGAGAGAGAGAAAGCCACCAGGTCGAGGACTTGAACAATGGTTGGCCATGTGGGAGTGTCCAGTGCCTTAACCACCACACCACCTGTTGGTTCCTTGTCTGGGGTGATTTTTAAGCCACCAAGTCCGGGATTCGGATTGTAGTTGGCTATGTGGGAGTCCAGCAAAGTAATTGCTATGCCATCTGCTGGCCCCTCATGTCCCTTTATTATTGTCTGTCTTCCACCTAAATACGAAATTTTTTTTTTAAGAGTTTTTTGCCTTAAGACACGTGTGCATACCGGGGAGAGGGAGACAGAGACAATTAGAAAGAAAGATATCAGCCCCCAGGGGGATGGACACACCAAAATCTCTTCTCCATTCTTTCCTCCCAGGATCTTGGGCATGTACGTACACAAGCCCAGCATGATTTTGAAGCCACCAGCTCCAGGTTTCAAACCCCAGTCAGCCATATGGAAATCCAGTGATGTAACTAACCACTATGCCATCTGCTGTCCCCTTATATTCTTTTTTAATAGCAGTAATTCTTTTGAAATTTAGAAAGGAATACAGATGCTATTTGCTCAACGTGAAAGGAAGACTACCTAATTGTAGTTAACATCTTTTTAGCTACTTTTGTCTTGGAGAATTTATATTCTACTGCTGCTGTGCTACTAGCTGAAGATCAGGGAATGATCTGTCAAAAATTGGGCCAGTAGGTAGCGGCATAGTGGTTAAGGCCCTGGACTCCCACGGTTCGAGTCCCAGACCTGGAGGCTTGCTTTCATATTTTCTCTCTATCTTTCCTTTCTCTGGTGAGCACAAGTGCCCAGTAGCAAATTAAAAATGATAACAAATAAAAATTAAATCATTTTTAAAAATTCTTTATAAGTATTTCTAAGTCATTACTAGGCTGTGCGGAGTTTTACCAGCCTCCTTTTCAAAGAAGGTAATGGGCTGATGCCCCAAATTCCTATTACAGTCTAGCTGCTTTTGCAAGATTTAATTATATATACTAAAAATTGCCTTGGTTATATTTGCATGTGTAGTGGTTGTTTACTGTCTTTTAACCTGCTACGTACTGATGTTACTTTTAGATGCTGGCAAGTCTACCATTGGAGGACAAATAATGTAAGTCCATATCTTTTGTTAAACAATATAGGTCATTTGAATGAATTTAAGGCATTGTAAACATTCATACAGTCAGATAGGAGATAAACAGGTCATCCCAAGTCAATAAAAATTAACAAAAATTACCTATAGGTAAGGTGGACATTGAGTAATTTCTTTATTTATTTGTTTTTGGCCCAGCCTGGTGGCTTAGTCAGTAGCAAACTGAACTGCAGTGCTGGAAACCACATGGCTGACCTTGGGTTTGGATCTCCCCGGGTAGGCCTGAAAACATGTGCATGTGTGCATGTCCAGTGTTCTGGCAACCTGGAAAGCTGGGGAAAGGGAGTCATGGCATGACAAGACCTTGTCAAAGGTGATTTTCTTTTGCACGCACACACGATAGCATAAAATAAATTTAAAGTAGTAATTTTTGGGGACCAGCACATGGCATAATGGTTATAGGTTGCTTAATTCCCACATAGCTGACTGCGGTTTGAGTCCTGGACCCAATAGCTTAAAACTCACACTGGGTGTGTGTGCTTACATGCCCAAAATCCCAAGAGGAGAATCAAGAAGGGATTGCCACAAAGCCATCCCTCTGTGGGGTGTGATTTCTTGCTTTTTCTGTTTCTCTGTCTCTGGTGAGAATAAGTACCCCATAGCAAAAATATCTCTTAAAAAAAAAATGTAGTAATTTTTACAGTGTGATCATTGTTAGTATTTTCCAATGCGATTTTAATTGCCTTGAGATTCTCAATGGAACATTAATTAAATAGGGTTTTTTTTTTTTGTTGTTTTTTGTTTTAATTTGTCGGAGGGTGTGTGTATATGTTTCCCAGAGAGACAGAAAACAAGAGCGAGAAAGTGAAAAGGCACCCTACATGGGGAACAGTCATGCCACAATTCTTTCTCCTCCATTTCTCCCTCCTTTCAGGATTTTGGGCATCCACACACATGCCCTATCCAAGACTCTTAACCACAAAGTCTGCCATTTAGGACCTACCCACCTTAACCACTAGCCACTAGCTGGCCCTAAATATGTTTTGAAAGCTGTCTTTTAGTTTTTTTTTTTAATAAAAAACTAATATAGAACCCCAGGTTGTAAGAAATCTTAATCTGCTTTGCATATAATTTTCTTGGGAATAACTTAAACCAGCTTTTGAATCTAGTGAATAGAGGAACTGTCACCAGAACTGTTTTTCCTTATTAATTTATATGGGTTTAATCAAAGGCAAATAGTCTGATGACTAACATGCCAAGATAATCTTTTTTTTTATCATAATAACAAGGTTCTCTGGGTATGAAAACAGCATAGTTAGCCTTTAAAAATGGAGTCTAGTAAAAAAAAAATGGAGTCTAGTATTGATAAATCATTATACTTTATATGCTGGAGAAAGACAAAAAGGAAAAGTGAGAATCACCCCCCAGGGGGTAGGGGACACGGCCACTTTGAAATCCTTCTTCATTCTCCATTTGGGATTCTGGGCACACATGCACCCAGTTTCAAGCTGCCAGGTCCAGGATTCAAACCATGGAATCAGCCATGTGGGAATGCAGCTGCCTTAACCACCATGATACTTGCCAGCCCAATGAATCTTTATACCTTAAAGGTCCTTTTTTTTTTTTTTTTTGTAACCATCCTCTTCCATGGCTTTTTCTTTCTCCTTCCTGTTTGAATAACTTTTAATACTTCTGTTTCTCACTGGGCTCGAACTTTGGGTAGAGGGACTTCCCATTTTCCCGCTTTCTCTTTCCATTTTTGTTTAAACATGTTGGAAAGTACTAGAGAAAGACAAAAAGGAAAAGTGAGAGGAAAGCTCAGGACTGTCCTCTGTCCAACAGATAGGCAGGTACTGCTCCTTATGGAGTCTTTTCATCATTCTTCTGTTTGGTGTTCCTCTTTTCATGCATCTTGATAGTCTTTTTCATTTGTATTTTCTCAGCATGGTGCTGTTTATGATAGAGAGCTTAGCCTTCAGACCAATCATCATTTTTGCCTTCTTTGAATGTTCATGAGCCTGCCGACTTTCCTTCTTTCACTTTTTCTCATGGTAATCCAAATGGTATCCATAGCATTTACAATGTAATTCAATATATTCGTTTTGTGGCATGGTGACGGCTGTAGAGTCCCTGGGAGCAGCCTCCCAGACGCAAAGTTGTTGTCAAATTACAGGTCTCCAATAAGAATTATTTATTGAGGCCAGCAAGTGGCGTGGTGGTTAAGGTGCTGGACTCCTGCCCATCATGGTTCAAGTCCCAGACCTGGCAGCTGGCTTTCTCACTCTACCCTCTCTCCCCATCCACGTCTCTCTCCAGTCAAATTAAAAAGTAACAGTATGGGGCCAGCATGTGGCATGATGGTTAGGGTGCTGGACTCTTCCACATTACGAACTGCGGTTCAAGTCCTGTACCTGGCAGCTTGCTTTCTCATTCTCTCTCTCTCTCTCACTCTCATTCTGACCCTCTCTGGTCAAATTAAAATAAATAAATTCTTTAAACAAAGAAGTAATCAACAAAATTAAATCATATTTTTAAAAAGAATTATTTAATTTTATTTATTATTATTAATACTTCCTAGTTTGCTACAGGGCTTGTACACTCACTACAGGAAGGGGCGGGGTTGGGAAATAAGAAAGCAAGCTGCCAGGTCTAGGACTGAAACTGCTGTTGACTATGTGGGAGTCCAGCATCTCAACCACTATACCACTTGCTGGCCCCTCCATTTACTTTTTATTGAGCGAGATTTTTGTTATGGGACACATGAGCTCACCCGAGAGACAGAAAACAAGAAATCAACCCTGAGGATATTGGGCACACACGTGCAACCCAGTATGAGTTTTAGGCCACTGGGTCTGTGACTCAAACTGCAGTCAACTACGTGGGAGTCCAGCACCTTAACCATTATGCCACTTGTTTGCCCTCCCCCTCCTAACACATTTACTTTATAAAAAATGTTTTATTTTGAAATAACTTCAGTCTTACAGACTGCAAAAATAGTAAAGAGTTGCCATATACCCTTTATTTAGCCTACCTGGTGTTAATAGCATCCTAC